CACGCACCCACCCGNCCGCCCGCCCATCCATCCATCCATCCATCCATCCATCCATCCATCCATCCATCCATCCATCCAGCCAGCCGCATATGCAAGTGAGTACGTGCGAGGGAACCTCCGGGCCAAACAACTGACTTCAATCCGGGGAACGTCGGTTGAGTGGGATATGCGGTTTGGTTTCGGAACCTCTTGAAGACGCCGGGGAGCTAGGGGAGGTGGAGGTGGTGGTGAAGGGGGACTTTGCGCCGTCCCCACACATTTCTCCCCTGGCCAAATTTCCCAACACCAGTGGTCCGCGAAGGGGGGGTATCAGTCAATCAAATTCCGACATCGTGTATTATATGTTGTTCAGCACACGACGATGTAAGAGTAGGTAAGAGGGGTAAGAGTAGGAGTGTCCTCTAAAGCGGGGTAAGAGTAGGGCGTCCCTTACAAGCTGCTTCGGGGCCGATAGAGTCGGTTGCGGTGTTTGGGGCCCCCGGAGGCTAGCACACGACCCGTTGACCGCCAATGGGCAACCCGCATCCCGTGTACGAACCCCCAGAAGCGGTCCTCACAGTGGCTTAGGCGCTGCGAATCCAAGTCCGAAGCCCCTTGCCATGTTCCAGATTTGCCGGTTGGCCGCGAGCCGTGCGGGCTGGCGAGCCACAGTCGCCGCTCGCCTCAAGGTTGCCATCCCATGCGCACCGCACATCGCCATCCTCGCGAGTTGTATGGCTATAAATTATAATAAGGACGCCAGAGTTTGTCGTTTGGCGCACCTCACAGGTATGGCGCAAGTATACAGGCCAGTCCACAGAACTTACAAAAGAGTCCTAGCCACCGGAAAGGGCAAACTAAAGTGATTCTCACAGCTGGATGGCTACTAGCACAATATAGCATGCGTTAGAATCACGATATTAATGGTAGTTGGAAACGTTCTGCTGGCATCGACCCTCGCTCCAGAACCATGCCTATGTTTTCATCGCCTAACAGCGCTTCCTTTCCAGAGAGTCGCCTTGCGAAGGACAGTTAGATAGGAAACAAATGCTGTCCTAGCTTTGGCCGTTGCCTATTCAACGCATTACCATCCCAAACCGGTTCTGCGAACGTTGGCGCTGCAGTCGACTTGCAACGACTGCAACCTAAAAATGCAATACCAATGCGTGGGTCGCCTGGGACGGTCTATGGCCCCTTGGCACACGTCGCGTCCACCGACACTCCGACGAGTGGTCATCGCTCGCGCCAGCCCTGAGAAGAGCAGCACCGACGAGATGAAGGGCGGACTGGACCCCTACTTAGAAGTTGCCGTTCCCAAGGACCAGCGACCTGTGAATCAGCTGGCGGAGTTAAAACAAGACCCGCTCTACAGTTGGTGAGTTGGTAGATGGCGTGTGGAGCTCAACGGCCAGGCGTGTGGCCCTGGGCCCCTGCCGCGCTGGGGAACCTGTGCGACTGACTGGTCTATTAGGAAGAACCCTTAAGACTGCATCGCCAGGACGTCAGGTACATTTTCCTGTTTGGCATGTGGATGGATGCCGCGCTGAGGCCACGAAAGCGGCCACTCGCATTGGGTTATGTAACCCTAGGGCCGGATGATGGCAGTGGCTCAGACCCTGGGAGAGATGACATGGAGACATAACTCGACAAACAGGCCGCCTCGGATACAACCTCGGTACTCAATGTGGAGATGTCTGAGCCTCTCCCCATCCACTGAGAACGAAGGGTCGAGGGGGAGCGTGCGTCACAGCACTCGCATGACCCCCCACCACGAAGTTCTGGGCGGGGTTGGAAGGGGCTCTAGGGCCCTAGCTGCTGCTAGGTGGTGTGAAAGGCCGCTTGGGAAGCAGCGGTGGCGGCGGTCACGGTCCCGACAGCTCCGGCCACTGGTCTGGACGTTGAGTTGGACTAGTGACCGCCCGCCCGTCAGTTGCGGAGACATAGTCCAGGGACGGATCTCGTCTCGAGCTCGAATTCACATCACATCACATCACATCACACCACATCACACCACATCACACCACATCACACCACATCACACCACATCACACCACATCACACCACATCACACCACATCACATCAGGATGAACTGCGGGACAGCTCATTCTGCGTCATCTGCGATGTTGACCTATCGGCTTCCTCGAGTGGAGCCAACCCGTGTTTGGGTTGTTCGAGTTACGTGTCCCACATTCCGTGTACCCCCCACCCGTGTGCGTGTGCGTGCGTGTGTGTGCGTATGTGTATCCCACTCGAACCGGCGATGGCGGGTGCGGGAGGTGCCTGTCGGTGGGGAGTGGTTAGGGGATCTCCGGCACTGCTGTACGGCTCTTCTGCCGACTGTTGTGCCGTACCGGTACTGTATGTACCTGAAAACTGCTGTCGTTGCTGTGTGACGATGATGTTACTGTTGCTAACTAGCACTGCTGCCGCTGCTGCCTCACCGCCCCTTGCGTGATTGTTGACGATGACTTATGATGGTGGGCATCATCATCACCACCACTGTGTTTTCAGGGGTGCTCTGGCTCCCGGGGAGTACGTGAAGCGGCTGGCGGGGGTGTATGCGTTCTTCTTCGCCTTCGTGGGAGGACCCATCGCCTATCAGACGTTCGAGCCCAGG